GGAGACAGTAATTGAAGAAGAGGCTGCAGAGGAGTGATGCTAGCTTGCTTGCTGCCTATGTCTTAATAAGCCTGATTTCTTATACAACCAAGGACCACCTGTACCCTGGGCCCCACACCAATCATTATCAAAAAAATACCCCACAGGTTTGCCTGCAGGTTAATCTGATGGGCCCAATTGTGGTTCACTCTTTCCAGCTCGTTTCAAGTTTAAACACACACACACACACACACACACACACACACACACACACACACACAAGCAACAAAAAAAAATCAACAATAAATGTTTACTTTCCTAGATTTTTAGGGGAAATTATTGTTTGGTTAATTTTTTGCTTCTTGTTTTTCAAGACAGGGTTTCTCTGTGTAGCCCTGGCTGTCCTGGACTTATTTTATAGACCATGCTGGCCTAGGACTCATGGAGATCTGCCTGTCTCTGCCTCCCTGAGTGCTAGGATTACAGGTGTGCACCACCATGCCTGGCTACTTTATAGTTTTATTAATTTAGTTATTTAATCACTTTACAGCTTGATCATAGCCCCTCACTCCTCTTTTTCTATTCCTACCCAGACACACCCTTCCTGTCACCCCAACCCTCTTCTAATAGAAGGCCCCGTGGGTACCAATTTACCCTGGGACATCAAGTTACAGCAGGATTAAGTGCATCCTCTTCCACTGAGGCCAGAGAATTCAGGCCAGCTAGAGGAAGGGTATCTTGTTGGGAGCTGTGACTCCAGTGGCCTGCTTTGATATTTATGGCTTTTAGCAGGCCTTTACTAATGGCAGAGACCTTGCAAGTTCATCTCCTTTTGTTTGTGACAACAGGTGGAATAGCTTGTGAGGATCACACCTCTTCCTCAGGCTCCTTGTGCAAATTAAACCATTGTTCTGATATGTTTCTACTTTGGCTCAGAAACTCTACAATAAAAAGACAGGCCGACAGTTACTGCAGAAGAAGGCTGAAGATGATGCTCCAAGCATCCTGTCTCAACTCTTGTGTAAACAGGACACAAATAAGCAACTAGATACAATGTTGTGCTATGGGAGGAGCCGGAGGACAGGAAAGAGGGGAGGAGCTCGAGGAGAAGGCTGGAGACAGAGTTGGAGGCAGACTTGAGGCTTGCTGCTGGCACTGCTTGCTGCAGCTGCCTGCCTTTTGCCATGGCTGTCGAGTCTGGACCTTTAAAAAGTTTCCTGTGTGCTGTGTGTTTATTTTATTAATTTTAATCCTCACTCCCAACTCAAGAACCGTTCGACTCTGCCCAGCTGGCCCCGGCAGTATCTAGAAGCAAGCAACAGAGTCAAAGACAGCACCTACTCCAATTGTTAGGAGATCCACATGATGACCAATCTGCATATCTCCTACATATCTGTATTTTGTCTACTACTGAGCTATAAGCATTAGTCAGTTGCTTTGAGGCAAAGACTCAAAGAGGTCAGGGAAGTCCAGCAAGTTTATTGTTGGTCACACCTGTATTTGTATGCTCACACTAGCTTCATATCTTTGACTATCTTGGTTAACGTCTCTGCTTCATTTTACCACTGGTAAAATGAGATAATAACTCTCTGACTGGTGGAGTTGATGCAAGAATTAAATACTGAACCCAGCATTGAAAGCAGTGGCTGGTATAGAGTAAACCCACAACTGACATTTAACATGGCATAGTTCTTAAACTGTCTTATAAAACAATGCACTTCCTTTTTTTCTTTTTCTTCTTCTGGTTTTTTAAGATAGAGTTTCTCTGTGTAGCCTTGACTGCCCTGGACTCGCTTTGTAGATCAGATTGGCTTTGAACTCATAGCGATCCACTTGCCTCTGACTCTCTGTGTGCTAGGGTCAAAGGCTTGTGCTACTATGCCTGTGTAGACAGCATACTTTCATTCTCATTTTACCTGTGAGAGAGCTCAAGCTCATAGATTAAAACAAAACAAAACGAACAACAACAAAAACCCAAGGGTGTAGGGGCGCATGCCTGTAATCCCAGCACTCAGGGAGGCCAACCTAGTGTATAGAGTGCATTCAGGACAGCCAAGACTACACAGAGAAATCCTGTCTTGAAAAACCAAAACCAAAACAATAATAACAAAACCAAAATCAAACAAAACCAAACCAGTATGAATATGGTTTCCAAGTAAATTAATGTTTATCTCTAATTTTTTTTTCATTTTAAATAAAAGTAGACAGTTTCTCTTCCACATATTTACCAGAGGGGGGAAATAAGAAACCTGTGTTCTGGACTTATGATAGAGTAGATATTTATTATTAATTTATTACTGTGATACTGAGGGAGGTGATAAATACAGGGCTTTGGGCATGTTTGGTAAATTTTCTATCACTGATTACATCATCAGTATTTAAAGTTTTATTTTGATTCAGAGTCTTGTGAAGTTTTCCAAGATGGCTGAAACCCACAATACTTTTTCACATACAACACTTGTAACTGTGATTAGATAATATCAATGTAGCACTATGTCTAGTCATGACAGGCAAACTTATCTATTTATTTATTTATTTATTTATTTGTTTGTTGAGCCAGGCTTTCACTGTGTGACCCAGGCTGTCTTGGCACTCACTATGTAGACTAAGTTGGTCTTGAACTTACCAACATTCACAGAGATGTTTCCTGAGTGCTGGGATTTATGGTGTGTGCCTGTCTAACAGCAAGCATTTTACATCTGACAACTTCAAAGGACATTTACTGTTACACAGTCTTTTCTTTAAATTTATATAAACCTTTGTTGAATTTTTTGAGTATTAACAACTTTTTTGTTTTAAAATCTATACAGGACACATAAAAATGTTAAGTGTTGTGAATTTTTTTTTTCATCAGAAAAACCACAAAAGACAGGTGGAGAAAACCCAAGGCTGGGTAGAAGTAGGGTAATAATGGAAGATAAAAATCAAAATCTATAGACCCAATGGCCCAGGACTATAGCACTGGCTATGCAGGAGGGTGAAGTAGGAGGATCGTGACTTCTGCCTATGCTGGGTAATGCTGTGGTAAAACACCTGTCTAGCACCTATGAAGCCCTTCGTTCTGCCTCCATCATTGAGAAAATAAGTAAATGAACAACTCCAACTGCATAATAAAAGTGAAGTAAACGAAGCAATTATTCAGATCATAAATATTTGGAAGACAGATAACAGTCCAGGTGAAACGCAGATAGATATGTTCTTAACTCCTCAGTGTGTTCTTTGGAAATCATATATTGGGCCACAATTTTCACTGAAGAACATCCACAAATCTTCACAGTACCAAGAAGACCTTCTAAATTGGAAATTTCAATATATTGTGATCATTTCATTTCTGGATCATTCCACTTTTTGTGTGCTATTTATGCCACTTGCTCTCAAGATATTCTCAGCAAACAGCAGCAAAACCAGACAAGGCTTGAGTCATGTCCACTTACAAATAACTTTAGTAACTCATGTTTCTTAGACTTGCCTATATTTTTAATATTTCATTTGTAATGGAAGCACACATGGATACAGCAATTCCAAAGAACCAGCTGGCCATCACGATTTCAGAGTCAAGAGTCTTAGCTTTCAAAGTGCCAGTCACTGAGTCAGACAGAATAGAGTTGAGTTGGAGTTACTCATCAAAATAGCTAGCCCTGGCTAAAAGCACAACTCAAAATACTTTTGTACTCATCTACTGATTTATCTTTACATAAAGTGGAGACTATGATTGTACCCATTTTATACACTAAGTGACTTTGATATCGTATAGCTAAGTGTCATGTCAAGGTCACAGCTAATAATTGTCAGACATAGAACTCACACCAAACCCAATCTGATTCTATTTTCTTCACATGGCATTACTAGACAGAACTGGTTTTCTAAAGTCATTAAACTACACATAAGCCTGGGGTTTCTGCATTTAGGTTACTTAAATATTTGCTCAAAAGTTACAGAAGTGTAAACATGGAAATCGTTAGGAGAGAGTTCTGGTTTCTTTGGGTGGAAAAGACTCTTGGATTTGAAAATACCAAGGCTCCTGAATTTGCCTAGTCCTTACATTCTTGCTTTAAAAGGCCTGAAGGCAGAAAACAATCTTACCTCAGCATTTGAGGCCGAGGCTATCAAGTCTATGATATCACAATAAAAACATATGGCATTTCTACTCTAAAACTAACCTGTGGTAGAAATATAACAAGGATAGGATTTTAAATGTCCAAAGGGGCCAGCGCATAATTTAAAGCCACAAGCTCCAGACTTCTATCCAGTTTGTCTGCAAGCTCGCTTAGAGTTAACTCCTTTCTCACCAGACACAGAAATGCCTACTGGGCATGCCCAATTACACAGTGAGAGAGCCTCATACTGTGCTACACTTGTTCCAGGTTTTACCAGAGGCTAAAGAGAAGGAAGAGACAGAGGGAAGAATTAAATAGGTAGAGAACTTGGTTCAGGTCGGGATGCCGACCGAAGAGGCAGAGAATGGAAAATTGGAGGATGGAAAAACTGCCAGGAAAGCACCTTTTCAGATGCACTCCAACTTGGCGCGATAGCCTGGTGGGTCTCGCTAAAGTCCTTTTATCACAGCATAGGCAGATGGCTCGGGCCAGGGCTTCAGCAAGGGGTGGGGCAGGAACACTAGGTGTGGAAGGAAGCCAGTGCCGCTGTCGAGTCCCGCCTACCCCTGCATTCCTCAAAGAGCCTCTAGCTTTGCATGGGTTCAGAACATGAGGTCCAGGTGCACACAGCCAGAGCTCGTCTTAGTCACCAGCTCCTCGGTTTCTGCTGCTCCTCTTTAGCTGCTGAGTCCTTTCCTGGCATCTTCTCAGGTACTCCCGCCCAATCACGACTAAAGCCCGGAGAAGTGGAATCTCCACAAGATTTTCGTGGGTCTAACAGGGGCTTGGGCATGCTCAGTAGGCTACGTGACACTGGTTTCTCTCTCTCTCTCTCTCTCTCTCTCTCTCTCTCTCTCTTTCTCTCTCTGTCTCTCTCGGAGGGGAGGGTGGCGAGTGACTACTTAGAAGTGCTTGTGGCAAGTCTCCGCCCCCAGGTTCCCCCTGTAGGGGGACGAGGCAAAGGTAGAAGCACCTTGCTGCTCAGCCTGTGAACTTGGAAGGGGCTGCAGCTGCAAGCTGAGGCCACCGGTTTCCCCCGCCAGAGGATCGGCCGGCCGCTCTCCATGGTACTGCGGAGAGCTCAGCTCCGCCCTTCTCTTTCAGAAGGACAGCACCCGGCGTCACGTAACCCAGCCTTCTCGGGCTTCACCACCGCCTCTTCCTTCCCTTTTTCCCTCTCCTCCTCCTCCTCCTGCTCCCCCTGCTGCTTCCCTCCGCTGCATGTTCTTCCCTTCCGCACTCTTGGAGATAGACGCTCAAGCCTGACGCCTCGGAAAAAGGCAGCAGCAGTCGCCTTATCCTTACACCTCAGAAAATTCGCTTTGACCATGCATGCTTCAGGCTCTGGATCGAGCTAAGGGGAATAACCAGGCAGGTAAAGGATCTCAATTTAGGCTGGGGGAGGGGATGGGGCGAGGCAAGCTGGAGAAGGGTATATTTCCCTGTTGTAACTGGGCCAGGATCTGCTACAAATACAGAGGAAAGGATGGGTGGTGGGAGGGTGGAGGAGTGGAGATTTTGGTTGTTTTGCATGTAGCCTTTCAAACGGCGAGAAGATGAGATGGTGGAACTAGGTAGTAACTTAAAGGCTAAATGCAGTGATTTATTATTCAAAGAAAAAAAAGGTAAAGGCAATTAGAAACCAAAACAATAAAATAAAACATATCTACACCCTTCTTTCTATTTCTTCCCCATCAGTCCTGACTGTGCCCATCCTTAATTTGTGCAGTAGACTTCAGGATCTAAGAAACTGCACTGGTGTTAGAGATGGTGCTTAGAGACTGGGCGGGAAAGCCAGAGAGAATTTTGGGTGTGCATTGGTATTGAGGTACTTTGCAAAAGCCAAATGCAAAAATATATAACTTGTAAAATTCCTGTCGTAGATTTCAGATTCTTTAGAGGGCTATGCATTAAAAGGTTTCATGGCAAGCAGTGTGTGTGTGTGTGTGTGTGTGTGTGTGTGTTTTACTAAAAACATGATAGAATAAATGCAACTGCAGCCGATCAGCATACTGTATTGATCCTTCCAGTGACTTGGGAATGAATTTTGTTCTAGAAACAGAAGAAAAGATTAATGAGGCTTCTAGTCAGCTTTTGAATTAGAGCGCTTCTTGTTTGGGCTGCAGTATGGTTGTTTTTCAGATCCCTTTATTTCATCCTGTAATTTGTGAACTCACCAGGTCGTTCTGGGTACCTAGAGAGAATCGTTTTTCTCCATGTAGAAACAGATACTGTCTCTCACACAATGAGATTCCTCTAGGAACTGGGAGAGCCAGCTGACCTCTCTTGTAAGAACATACATTCTTCCTGGGTTTCCCCTCCTTCCCTCCATCCTTTACAAATTGGTCAAGGTGTGCATTAGAGGAGGAGGGCACAAGAGAGAAGGCAAAAAGGTTATGTGATAAATATAAAATTAATACAATAATAAGCTCTGACAATCAGCTAGCCAGCCTCTCTCTCTCTCTCTCTCTCTCTCTCTCTCTCTGTGTGTGTGTGTGTGTGTGTCTCATTTCTCTCTCTTTCTGCACACACCCACCCCCACCCCTCCACACAGATAGAGAGAGGGGGGCAGAGACAGAGTCTGAGACATCTCCAGACACACATGCTGAGAATGGCCTCATAGCACTACTCTTGTGATAGACCAGACTATTTTGTCAAATGCTGAACATGTACCATATTCCTCATCTTAATATGAAAGTGTAATGAATAATAAGCTATTGTTGATCATTTTTAAAAGCGCCTTTCTTTAGGTTTGACCCATGTATAGGCAAGATATAACTTGTAATAGCTGGTTGTGAGGATAATATCAGCCATAATAAATAGGCAACTGAGATTTTATTGCCATTTGGTAACGAGCAGTGTATAAGTGTGTGTTATGTCTGTAAAGTGTATGTGCTGTGTCTGTGAGGTGTGTGTGTGTGCGTGTGCTATGTCTGTGTTGTGTGTGGTATTTCAGTGGTATGTATGTGTTGAAAGAAGAGAACCAGTCATCAATTTTATCTGGGGAGGAACTTGAAGTGGGATCCCCTAGCTTGATGGCTCTCAGCTGACACCTGTAGGGATTGCTCTGAACTGAAGAGAAATGCTTTCAGCTCCCTCCACAGAGGAGCAGCCACAATGCAGTGCCATAAATTACAGCTAGTTTCAGCTTGTAGGGGGAAAAAGTGTTAATTGGATATGAACTCTGCGTCCAAGCAGTAAATTTGGTGTGAGTGTGTGTGTATGTGTGTGTGTGTGTGTGTGTGTGTGTGTGTGTGTAGGAGATTGTGAGATATGGTAGGGTGATATTTTTTGCTTGGAATGACCAAACGACATATTTTAATTTTTTTCAAAATGTGAGTTATTTGGTTCTAAAAATTCATAGCCCTTCCTTGAAGATTTATGTTTTCTGTACCATTTCAAAAGCCTGTCAGATTAGAGTTGAATAAAAAGAAGTGATTAAATGGCATAGTGAGTGATTCAAAGGTATGGCTTTAAATTCTAGCATCCTGGGGCCATAACAGTTGAGGTGACATACATGCCAACTCTTGTTCTGACTATACAGATTCTATTAGTTCACAGCCAGAAAAGGACTTGAGGAAGAGTCAGATTATTACACTTTTAGAAAGAATATTAAATACCCATCTTTGAAAAGATGAATTTTTGGAAATTAAAACTAATATTATGGCAGCAAGGACACAAATACTGACGAGTGTGGCTCCAGACAGATGTTTTGTAGTATAACAGATTATGTACTGATAAAAATGAGGACTATATTTTCTTGAAAATTTTAAGATGCTCAAGAAGCCACTGCATTATTGTTGTCTGGGAAGCAAGTGAAGTAGTAGGATGATATACAAATACAAGCTAGCATCTTCCTGCTGAAAGTTTCATGTATTTTAATGTTATAAAATTTGCTGTTAATTGAGGTTGATTAGGGTATATAAATTCTCTAGATAACTAGCACATATTATAAGTAGAAAACCTTTAAAAAGGTTTATTAATTTCTCTCCTCACACATTTTGGAAATTAAAACTTTCTTGGACAATTGCAAAGAAACTCATAATCAAACTGTTTCTAAAATCTAGGTCACTAATAAACAGATATGATAAATTCAAGATTGTAACAGCTTGTTATAAGACTGTAACATTAATTACTAAGAAACACCAGGCCTTTCTGTGGGTCAACACACACACACAATCAAACACACACTGTTATATCCAGGAAGATTATTTGCTTTGATAAATCCATGAGTTATGAACCAGCTTTCCTAGCTGAGTAATGATTTGTATGATTCTATAATTAACTACGGGCTTTAATTTTTTTATTTTAATTTCCACAGATCTCTGGGTCCTTATCAAAAGACAAAATAAAATAAAAATGCATCACCAATATACAACCAATTGACATGCTGGCATCTTAGGGTGGCCTTGCAGAGACGGAGAAAAGAGAAGAGCTGTTGGGATGTTATTTCACCATCTAACAGCTTCTGGCTGTTTCACAACAGGGTTTGAAATCTACTGACAGGGCTGGTAAACAGAAAGTGAATCAGCCTGGGAGGGCGTGCCAGGGAAGTTTGGCCTTGGCTTCAGTGGTACTGGAAGCCCATGGTATGACAGAAGAAGCAGGCCTCTGAAGCTATTCTGGCGCTACTTACTCGTGCCCTTTCTCCATTTATGCTGGGAGCCAACATCTGGAGTGTCCTCTAGGCCTTCCAAGCAGCCAAAGATAGTGGCTCATTGTTGGCTTCCTGTCACTCCCTGAAAAAAAGTGTGTGTTTCCTCCTGACTCTGCTTTCCTTTTGCTGGCACCACAGTAGTGGTCCGTTGCAGGTGTTGTTCCTGGAAGACTGAAGAATTTGTTGGCAACAACAGATGACCTTACTTTGCATCCTTGGATGCAAATGGATCAGTGATTTTCCTTGAGCCTCGGCGGCGATCATTTTCTGAACGTTGTCTCCAAAGTGTATCCTCCCTTTGGTCTGGAAGTTCTGTTGCTACCTTGTGCAACTGGGACCTCTGCTTTCCAGTTGGAAAGGGACTACTGGGAGAGAGGAACGGGTTGCTGGAAGAGAAGAAGAAGGAAAAAAGGAGCTAAAGGAGCGTGTGCCCCTCCAACCTCCACCTCCCTTGTGCCTCCCACTACTCTGTGGACCCCCATTTCTCCGTGACGGTGTCCAGTACCATTTCGACCCTGTCGCCCCCGGCTCCCCCCCGCCGCACCCCAGCCCCGAGCATGGGGACGGCGCTGGTCCAGCGCGGGGGCTGCTTTCTCCTATGCCTGTCACTGCTGCTCCTGGGCTGCTGGGCAGAGCTGGGCAGCGGGCTGGAGTTCCCGGGCGCTGAGGGCCAGTGGACGCGCTTCCCCAAGTGGAACGCATGCTGCGAGAGTGAGATGAGCTTCCAGCTGAAGACGCGCAGTGCTCGCGGCCTCGTGCTCTACTTCGACGACGAGGGCTTCTGCGACTTCCTGGAGCTCATCCTGACGCGCGGGGGCCGCCTGCAGCTCAGCTTCTCCATCTTCTGCGCGGAGCCCGCCATGCTGCTGGCGGACACGCCGGTCAACGACGGGGCGTGGCACAGCGTGCGCATCCGCCGACAGTTCCGCAACACCACGCTCTACATCGACCAGGCCGAGGCCAAGTGGGTGGAGGTCAAGTCCAAGCGCAGGGACATGACGGTGTTCAGCGGGCTCTTCGTGGGCGGGCTGCCCCCTGAACTGCGCGCCGCGGCCCTCAAGCTCACGCTGGCCTCGGTGAGGGAGCGCGAGCCCTTCAAGGGCTGGATCCGCGACGTCAGGGTCAACTCATCGCAGGCGCTGCCAGTGGACAGCGGCGAGGTCAAGCTGGATGATGAGCCGCCCAACAGCGGCGGCGGGAGCCCGTGCGAGGCGGGCGAAGAGGGTGAGGGTGGCGTGTGCCTCAACGGAGGCGTGTGCTCGGTGGTCGACGACCAGGCCGTGTGTGACTGCTCCAGGACAGGCTTCCGCGGCAAGGACTGCAGCCAAGGTAAGGCCTGCCCGACCACGTGGAGCCTTGGCCTGGGCTGGGCGGGAGGCTGGTGCATGGGGCCTTCCTCCTCAGGATGCCTCAGGGTGAAGGCTTGTCCCTCACCGCTATGCTGCCTCCCTTTGAAGCCTCTTAGTGGGCACACTGCCCTTCCCAAGGCCATGCCCATGCAACTAACTCTACCTCCTTCCAAGTGACCAACAGAGTGGTCTCCTTAAACCCCAGCCCAAAGTTGGCAGGTTTTGTAGTCCTGCGGCCACTGCCTACGTAAATGGCCCACTACTGCCCTGTACCACCAGTAACTCTAGAACACAGACCTTTCCTGTAAGCTATTGACAAGTGTCTAGAGGACTGAGCATGTGTTTGGTGAGAAAATTAAATAGAGGTTAGCTGTGGGCCACAATAGAGCTAGCCACGTGGTTACTACTGGTCAAAGCACACTCGACAGGCCACAGGCCCTGGGTGCCTTTGCACCCATGACTTGCTCCTGGTGTGGAAAGAGAAGAGATTTTCTTCATGAACAGGGGGCTTTTAAAATTTGGTTTCCCATGCTTATCTCCCAACTCCAAATTTTCCATATTTAAGAAGAATTTTGTGATTTCGTTGGTTTATTCAAGCATGAGACAGGTCAGCTAATGTTGAGGAATGTTAGCGATGAGATAACGTATTTCTTGATTAATAAATGCTTGATAACAAGAGTACTAGAGCAATTTAGGTGTCGCTGGATCGGGAAGACTGTCCAGGCTAATGAGCAGGGTGCATGTGAGTGATGGTAAGAGCTTTCCTAAGGACAGTCAGCTGATGACATTATCTGAGTAGCATTAGTCAAATTGTTTCCGTGATCCATAGGGCTTAAAACAAACAAAGCATAGTTAAGCATTATCTTTACCACTTTACACCTAAAATTCAGTTTTCTGTGCATCTCTTCCATGTTTTTTTAATTATTAACTTTGTTATGACAGTGACCAAATAAATTATTCTTGTATGAATACAGGAAAACCTATAAACAGAAAGTGGTGAGTGGCATGGCTAGGAGGACACATGAATGTATTAGAGGCCAAGCAGTATGGGTGTCTTGGTTTCAACTGCATACATAGCTTTGGGGCAAATCAAGGCAGCCAATCATGGATATCTAGCACTTATAGTTGAAGCAGGGAGTAAAGCAAATTATTATATCTGATTTGGAAAGACAGGGGCAAAAAGCTTTGTGTGGCTGCGTTTTATTGTGTGATGTCTGCTTTTCTTTTCTTTTCTTTTTTCTTTCTTTTTGGCTTATAGTGTTGAGAGGAGTAAGCCTTTGTAATTCTTATTAGACTTGGCAGCTTTCTCTCATGGCTTTAAAAGAAAGGAAGACATGATGAAATTTGTGACTGTTTAACAACAAAAGAGATTAAGTTAGGAAGAAAAAAGGTATTATTTAGGAGTGGTCTGTAGATTTCGTGGGAACAGTGGTGGATATTTAAGAATTAACTATGCTTTGTTTTCTTAGGGGTTTGTGTTAAGTACTTTGGTGTAAGTAATTATAATGACTGTATCCTATGTCTCATACAGTACTTTCAGCTCTGCTGGTAAAATTCCGTGAACATAAGTTCATGTTTTACAAAAATGAAACAGAACAATCTTTTTCCTCTACAAAATATAGCTGAATTGTAAGTCACTATGATAGCTAGATGAGATGAATTCATAGTACAACTTGAAGTTGTGTACATTTGTACTGATTAATAGAGAATGGCAAATATTATTTTTGTGGAAACATAGTTCTCTAGGCATCCTAATGCCACTTTAGATGATAAAGAAGGCAACTTAATGAAATATAACTTCCTTTCTTAAATTAAGAAACAAATATGACACAATGACAGCTTGTACTGTGTGGGAGAGTGTTTTAAATGAATTTTAAAAATATTTCTATGCATTTTAATGTAGGGATCCAAGGATCATGCATAATCAGGAACAGTTAAGACTGGAGAAAGCCTGAAAAAAAAAGTAATGTTAAAAAGAAACAGAATTAGATGTTTCCAAAATACATTTTGTTTTGGCAAATGCATATTTCTTTCTGTAAGGTGCGTAATTTGAAATTAATAGGATGAATATTAGAGCAGCATTGTATCTGATGCCTTAGAAAAATCATCTCAAGAAAGTAAATCCATCAGAAGTGTTCTGAGCTTTGCTTCATTTTGAAAATTTGAGCTGAAAGAGAATACAAAGATCACCACTAGTCATGGAAGGAAAACAAAAGGCTGGATTTTTTTGGTTATCAGAGAAATGGGAGATGGAATGATTAAGGCATAGTCTGTCTTTCCAGAAGCGTTGACTTTGCTTTGCTTATTTTCTCTGTTTCATGTGTGTCAAGTGACTACTGAATAATTAATTGGAGTGGATGATTCTCCCACTGCCGATCATGCACTGACAACTGGGGGAGATGATTTCTATTCAGATGAAGTGTAAACAAAGCTCTGTCTCCACTTACTATTTACACTGATTACTACATTCTTTATAAAGCCAATTAAAAACAAAATAAATAAATATTCATTACAGAAATGGTTCAGGAAAGATTACAATCGAGCAAATATTAAACACAGAGGTAAGGCATCTTCAGCCCCTACAGTTCTTTTTACTCTCAGTTTAAGAAGTCCAATATTATTGTAGTGGCCTTCTATTTAAAACATCTAAGAACTAAAAATATGGTGCAACAATATATAGTGAGAACAATCTGGTTTCATCCTCCCCATCTAGAATGCCTGAGACAATCTGTACCTGTGAGTTTCCAGAGTATTTTTGGTGAAGGAATTCTGTTTCATCCTTACTGTATTTACTTGGACCTAGTAAGATTCATTTATTTACCAACATATTTATCTACTGATGGAGAGAGAACACCAGGAAAGTTGTGCCTCATGGTCAAACTAGTGGCAGAGCTAGATAAGAACATAAACACCTTATTTCCAAATCTTGTGTCTTCTCATATGCTAAATAAGTTTTTATCTTCCTTCAAATGGACTTTGGTTTTTGGTAGGAGGGAGAATGAGATGTTTCTTCAAAGAGCAAAAATACATATAAAATGGTCCCAGAAACAAGTACTTTATGTACCATTGATGTTTGTGACCCTGAGCATTAATCTCAGAACTCAACTACCTAACAATGTCATTCTTCTTGAATGATGGATACTTATGGGGTATAGCTTTTTCATTGGATCATTCTCATCTAAGTGCTTCAGTGCCCTTGTCTGATAAGTTTCTACTTAAGGGTTCTAATAGTTTCCTAGAAGCTTCACAAGCTTAGAGAACCTCATGACCATCAAGCTTAAAATTAAGCATAAAAGGTCAATAAATAAGAAATTAAATTATACCTGTCATGCCCAGATCTAAGTAAAACCTAGACATTTTAGGTTTTACTTAGGTCATATGTTAAAATTTAATACTAGATTGTGAGGTCATTTTCCCTATTTAAATTACTATAATGCTGTATTATTGCTTATTATGAATGTCTTTGGCAGTGTGGTAAATGTATTTAGTGAAGCGCTACTTCAAAGAAGCCCTCTTATGTAGCTTTATTGATACCAGACATTTGCAGATACATATCCATACATTCATTTATTCATCTCTCTTTTTACACATAAGGATAGACAGACTGCCTTGCACATGCCAGAACATTAGGCTTATGCAATGAAATGCTGAGTACACTTAGAGGTAGCTCCTACTTTGTCAGCCATCCTATAGTCTACTGAGAAGCATATTATTAAAAATAACACATATGGGAATTAAAAATAGTGGTATATTTAAAATAATGCCTATATGCTGTGTGGAATTTTAAAATAGTGGGCCTAATCCAAGATTTTATTGAGGTGTGGTTATTAAACTTAAAGCTGAAATATTTGAGGAACTTTCCAGGTAACATAGAGAAGTGTTGAGGAGGTAAACTCAGAGATAAAGAGGTCTGTACTGAACATGGCACAGTCTGTCCCTGGCACTGGCAGGAGTCCTCATTGAATAGAGCTCTTGGTCCATATTCAAGAGAGAGTAGAGACAAGTTTTCTGAACTATTTGAGAATTTTAAAATCCATTAGACACAGGAGTATAACATGGAAGATGAGAATGGCAATGTCACATGCATATTTTACTAATGTCACTTAAACAACAGTTTACAAAACAGATTGAATTGGGACCACAGGAAATGAAAAAAAAATGGTATTTTATGTTTGTCACTCAACAGTAGTTGTTAAGCACCAACTAAAAGCTTTAGGTACTTAAAAGTAGAGGAGAAAATAGAAAACAATAAGTTCTTGAAAGGAATCCTTCAAGTTAGGATTCATGTTTCAAACAACTTGGAATCTCCATGAGCTTAGTTAGGTAGAGAAATTTAAGTTCATTTACTATTTAGAACACTGCAATCTACTTGTAAAATCATGATCTGAACTCTGTAGAGATTATTTATTACTTTGTTTCCTTTGGCTATTCCAGTTGAAGTCATAGGGTTCTGGAACCCAGTGGCAATACCATACTGTTCCATACTCAAAGTACAATACATTGTAATCATTTTATCTTTTAATGAAAAGTATCACATACTGTCTGGAGCTACACTGCAAATTGAATACATTTACTGTGGAATGTGATATTATGTATACTATTCCTACAGTAAGAAAAGCTAAAATGTTTATGAGGGTATTTTTTTTTTTTGTTAAGTTGTATTACTGAAGAAAATGATATAGAAAAATTGTCAGAATTTTATTTGAAGGCTACCATTGCAGAAAAAGTTATCTTTGTTAAAATAGGTTTGAATAGGACAAAGCTCATGAGTAGATTACTCCGCTGTGCAACACACTGGACATTTCTTATTATTGGACAACAAAAGGCATCTGTCTGCTTCTGACTGTCAAATGACCACAACATAGTTACCATCACAGAAATCCACAAATTCATAGTTGTTTTTCTTTCCTATTCTGTTGAGTCACTTTAGTGTAGGGGCTAAATTACTCATATGCTGTGGACTGCCTGTCCAAAGATTAA